TGGTTCCTTTTAGAACAAAATTATTTCTATTAATTGTATTTTTCTTCTTTTTGTTCAGGATATGGAGGCGTCCTGAACGGTGGGCAGCTGTTAGCCCTGGGTAATAATGGAAATATACCAGGTAAAAATTTTGCAAACATGAATCTGTAGTAATTTTGATAATTAAAACTCAAATGTTAATAATCCTTTCAGGTTATGGGACTCTTCCTTATGAAGCTCAACCAGCTGGATTTACTCCTGAAGCGATTTCTGCTGGCCAATATGGTAAATATTTTAAAACTATGAAATATTAATGGGATAACCTTTATAAATAAAGTAGAGAAAATACTACAAATATGGTAATTTGGAGGAGAAATGTAAGCAAATTAGGGCCAATCGAAATATAAATTCAAAACAATACACTTCTTTTTTTTATTTATGGCTTAATCCATTAACTTAAATTTTTCTATTAATTTTAAAAATGAATGCAGGTATCAACCATGTGAAACTGTCATTAAATGTGTAGTATGAATCTGAGAAAAAAAAACCCTGCATGGATATAATCAGATTCAACTAATTTTCTGTCATTCAGGCCTCATTGGATCACCATATCATCCTGCACCTTCTGGATTTGGATATAATGGAAAATCAGCTGCAAAATATGGTGAGATTGATCAAACACAACAAAAAGATGCATAAAAAGCTTTAAAATTGATTTAATCATTCAAAGTTTGCAAATTGTAAAGTTTACAGGTTCCTGCGCTAAGCTAACATTAGCATGTTTGCTCTGTTTTCATATGACTTGTTGATAATTCAGCTTCTTGGACATTTTGATACTGCAAAAATACCAAGTGGTTTTCATTTAGTTTCTAGCACAAATATCTTAATTCACTTGAAATATAATGAAAACAACTTATATGTAGCTTTTCAGCCAGATATAGGAGCTTGTTCTAACTCAAAATTCCTTAATATAGATCACAAAATACTAGTTTTTTGGGAAATTATTTCACTTATAAAATGGGAAAACTGTTTTATGAGTTAATTAATCTGCTAAGGACTTCTTCGTCAATATTTAGGTTTTATTGACTTAAAAAAGCTCCTATTCTTATTCAAGTGTATTAATATGTTTGGACTAGAAACTAGACAAAACAACTTGGGAAGATTTTGTGTTTTTGCAGTGTTGTGTAAGAAAAATAAATAAATAAAACAACTTGTTGTTCTGTTCCATAAATGTAAAACTTTGCTTTCATCACAGTAAAAACTGATTGGTATTTCAGTCATTACGTACATGAAGCTGCAGCAGTTGCAAAGTAATGAGTACATTTTGAATAAATGAACTTTAAAAGTTTAATTTTTTTGTCCAGTGTAAATTTTGCAGGTTTAGCTCATTTTGTTTGTTTTCCGAACTCGATGCAGGTGGTGGAGACGTTCCCTACGCGCCACAGATTCTTGGTTTTGGAGAAGCAAAATCAGAAAAACACGGTTTGTTTTATAAAGTGTTGTGGGTGTTTTCAGATTATTTGTTGCTCTCCAGATTTTAATTTAATTCAACCTCAGCAGGTAAACAAGAAGCTCACCAGTCTCAGCCTCTTGAATCTGCAGCAGGAGGTAGAAAACATGAAGAATGCATTATTAAAACTCTTATATTAATTTATTTTTCACATATTTGTTGTTTTGACATCAAGGTAAAAGAAAATCTGGGGGAAAAATCTTGAGCTTCGCTTTAATTTTTCCAACGCTCCCAATCTCAACTCGAAACAACCAATCAGAGCCAAGAGGCGGGTCTTAGCGCTGCCAATCATTCTCCATCCTAGCATTTACAACAACTTGTTGTAAATGCTGATGCTAGTTGGCATTGTGACTGTAGATAAACAATTTTCCTGTACCTGTAAGTATTTTTTCTGCCCTTAGCATATTTTGTAGTACATGAGGATGATTGTCAGCACTAAGGCCCTCCTCCTGCCTCTGATTGGATGGAGCAATGGATTTATTTTCTGCAATACTAGCTCAGTCAGATCAATATTTGTGCAGATTTTACAGAACATGGTGAGAGTTGAAACAAACGTAATTTATTTTTATCTAAAAGTTACGTATTCCAGCTTTAATTGAACTCCTTTTCATTTGTTTTTTTGTGATGATTAGAGAATGGGGGCTACTTAAAAGGACAAGTGAAGCCAGACAACATAATTGAAACAAAGAGCTGTTAAAGCATAAATAAATATGTGAAGTTTAAATCTGAACCTTGTCGTCTGTAGCGGTTGCATTTCCCACTCCCAGTCCGTCCCTGGAGGATTTGTCAGACCTTGTCGGCTCCTTCACACCGGATGAAGGTGTGCAGGATTTATCCGACAGCACAACGGGTTTACTGGACTCTTCACCTGCGGCGGAGACGCGGGGCGAAGCTCACCTGTCTGAGAATCCGGACAACCTGCAGCTGCCGCGGCAGATTCAAATTCAGCAGCAACTCAAGCTGCATTTCCACCCTCAAGGCAAGTCCTGGAGTTTGTTTTATCAAATTAGTTCCAATAGATTAGCTATTAGATCTAATTTTAGTGTTGTAGTTTGGCTGCCATCCACCAGAGGGCGCCGCTGGTCATCTGACTTGAAGCAGAGGCGGTAAAAACGAATCAAAGATGGCGGCGCCATAACCTACCATACCAGTAACTTATTAATCAATAACTTGCACCATAATTCTCATTTAAAAGCTCTTTCTTACAAAAGTAATCTTCAATATATTTTATTGGATTTATTATTTTTTAAATTTATTTATTTTTGCTTTGGCGGGTTTAAATTTTGCAGAATCGTCACATTAAAGATGGATGCCTGGCATGTTTTTAAAACCCATTTATGACCTTTTATCACCTTTAGGAGGAAAGAAATATGACTTGAATGGATTCTTTGGGAACAGTGACCCTCAAGGTGAGCATCATTTTACTCTAAATAGCTTTTTGAGTTTATTTAGTCTTTTTCCTTACTATTTTATTTCTTTTCTCACATAGATTGACTCAGCTGAGAAAACATGTTCCCTATTTCGTTGTTTTCAGTTTTGTGTCCTGTTTGTTGTTCGTATGGATGTCGGCCATTTTTATACGATATCATTGGATGGTCCAGATGACTCACGAAATTACCAAGCTGCAATATTCATTAGCCTTACAATAATGAATTTCGAAATCAATTGATCTTGAATAATTAGTGTTTCTGCTGCTATGTAAGGTTTTTGTCAGGCTTTTACATGTATGTTAATATCTTGTTTATGAGATATTAAGATTTACATTGTTTTATTTTAGACAAACGCAGCAGAACGTGTGTAAAATGCTAAAGGTAAAACAGTTGAAACATGGGCTTTCCATCTTCACAATAAAACAAAAATATGACAAACTTTCCTGTAAGAATGATCATTTTTGGGTTATTTTCATGGGGTAATGTTGCCATCTGTTTTGGTTGTGTCTTTATTTTATTCTAAACCAATTTTTATTTTTTATTTTGATCATTTTTGTATTTTGAGTGAGTTACTATCCTAACATATGAAGTGACGCCTAAATTATTTGAATTTATTAATCCACAAAACTAAATAATAAATACAATATAGTTTAATTTTAAAGTATAGTTAATCTTTTTTTTTTCTGCATAATTGACGGAAATGTTTATCAGAGCATAAATAAAAACCACACATCATTGTTTAGGGAAGGGATGCAAACTGGTAGAAGGGGAACTGACCTGCAACCAGTTTTTATTGTCTATTTTATTTTCCTCTTTGTTTGTAAGCAAATGAAATCTTCCACCATTATGTTCCAGTTCTGTTTTACTGTGTATATTTGTAGCAGTTCGTTTTGTACTGTTTCCCATTCATGTTTAATAAAGCTGTTATTTTTAGATCTTTCCTCTGCATACGGCGGCAGTGATTCAGTTTCATTTAAGAAAGTCAAAAAGTTTCATAAGTATTGGAGAGTATTTGATTAAAACAACCAAACCCGACTTTGTGTCATTTGTTTACATTTTCTCAACTTATATTTTTTTTTTATGTTGGGCAAAACAAAAAAACTTACCAAGTATTTTTGTTTCAACTTCAAATTTCTTTCAGCAAGATGGAAGTTTGTTTTAAATAAATAATAATGAATAAATAATGGTAAAGTACTGAGTCCATTAGCAGATTTATCTTAATTTATAATATATCAAAAATGTCTTTTTTGAGTGAAACTAGTGCTTTTTGTCAATATTTACTTAACATTTTGTTTTTGCAGTGTAACTGTACTATTCCTCTTCAGCACACTGCAAAAACATAAAATCTTACCAAGTATTTTTGGTTTAATTTCTAGCGCCCTTGAAATAACGCTAAATTAACTTAAAAGTAACATTTCAGCAAGAAATAGGAGCTTGTTTTAACCCAGTAATTGCTAAGAATTTTAAAAAATCCTAATTCCACTAGCAGATTTTATTATAGATATATGGGATTTAGTACTTTTTTATGAATATGTACAAATGAAAAGTTACTCTTAAAGTCAGTTTTGTCTTGTGTATTAGTTTATTTTCACTAGAAGCTAAACGTAATGCTGGATACGATTTTGTGGTTTTGCAGTGTGGTGAAGAGAAACAGTACAGCTGCACTGCAAAAACAAATCTTACCACATATCTTTGGTCTAATTTCTAGTTAAAATGTTTTAGCACACTTGAAATAAGAAAAGAACTAATTTAAAAGTAAATTTTCAGCAAAGATATATTTGTGGAGTCAATAATTTCTGATGAAAACATACAAAATCCACTGGCAGATTATTTCACTTTTAGATTAAATAATCTGGCTTTCTAAAAGGTACTTAGAAATACTTTGAGTTTTTGCAGGGTAGCTTCAGCGTTTCTCTTTAAAGGAACTTCCGTGAAGTTAAAGCGCCAGTTAGTTATTAACAATGACAAGGAGAAGCTGCAACAGTGCACATGTTCTTTTGCAGGGATTACCCCAGATTAGGAATAAAAGCCGCCTGCTGATTGGCTCGGCTCAAGCCATGCCACTTGCAGCTCAACAGGTTGCAATCTTGGACTTGCACCTGTCCGGTGATGGACCTCAGAGCGCCCGGGGTTTTCTGCAGCTCATGCGGGAGCCGTGGCTGAGCGGCCAGAGCGTTGGGATGTAACCGTAGAGGAAGTGGTAGATTAGCTGCCGTGATGGGGCTTCACCGGGGCCCGCGGCTCTTGGACTTCACCAAGACGCCGCCGCACCTGCAGTTCAACAAGTACGTCCTGACAGGATACCGGCCCGTTTCCACCGCGCCGGACTGCCTCAGGAGCCTCTTCTACATGCACAACGAGCTGGGGAACATCTACAGTCATGGTAGGCTGTTAAAAAACTCTGTTTAGATGTCTATGGAAGACCATGTCTGCCACTATGATGGAAAAAATAAAAGAAACACCTCATGTCTCATATTTATAAATAATTGTGAGATACAACATGAGGAACATTTTCACTCATAGCAGGTTCCTCAAGTTAATAAAAAAAAAAACCCAGTATTTCTATTTAGGAAACTATGGAAGAACATTTCTGCCACTCTGATGAAAAAAACAACTTCTATCTCATAATATTTAATAATAATTGAGATACACGCTGGGGAACATTACACTCATGGTAGGTTCCTCAAGTTAATGAATAAAAAGTTTCTGTTTAGGAGTATATGGAAGACAATTTCTGCCAGTCTGATAAAATAAAACTTGTTTCATAATTATATTTAATATTAATTTTACAATATTTTCATTATATATATTTATTTTAACCTTCTTGTGTATTTAATAAAGGTGACGATGAGGAAGAGATTGTCTCAAAATTATGAGATATTAAAACATAATTATAAAAAGGCATCTCATAATTTTGAGATAGCCATCATAATTATGACTTGGGTATCTCAAAAATTAATAAAAGATTAAGTCAAAAGTTTTAGATACTAAGTCACATGACTTATTAAAGGAAACACTCATCCATAATTATGAGGTAATCTCAAAAGTATGTGGTACTGTCTCATAATTTTGAATTTACTTTCCCTTTGGGATTAAAAAAGTATTTTTAAATTTGAATTTCTCATTATTTAGAGATTAGCAACATCATAATCATTAGATACATTTTTTTCTCTCTCCATCAGTGTGGCATTAATGGTCTTCCACAGAATGTGGACCAAAGCTGAACAAAATGTAAAAGCATCAGAATAAGTGATGAAACTGCTTTAGCTAATGGCGATGTACTATGGAGGAAGAGCTCAGCTCAGCACATGGCCTGTACTTTCACTTACGCCGGTCACACGCATCCCTGAGGGAAGTGTAATGAGGATATGGGGTATTAGCTCTAATCTGCCCCAAGAAGCCCAGAGTTGGAAATATCCGACGGTTAACTGGGTCCTTAAAGGTGACTCCTGCTGAGGAACATCAATCACCTGCAGACTGAGGCAGAATATTACCCATTTGGTTATTTTCGCTTTTTACTGGTAAAATTTTAAATTTTGGGGAGGGGGAAAAATCTTTTTCTTTCTTTTTTGTCTTGTTTCCAACGTGGCCTTAAGGTCATTAACACTAACACTCTTACTGAGAGGAAGTGAAGAGGTATTAGCATTAAAGTGTCCCATGTGTTGGAGCCGCTGCCACTTTGTATTATTTTTGTATTAAAAGATGGAGGAAATACTGTATTTTCTGACTTCAGCTTCATCAGAGGACGTTTCTGTGTCGCCGTTGTGATTAAATGTCACAATAAAAAGTCAACAGTACTCAAAAATTTTACTCAAGTAATACTAGCACTACTTCAACATACGTATACTCAAGTACAAGTAAAAAGTGGCCATCCAACACATTACAAGAGTAAAATGAATTTGGAAAAAAAGCATGTCAAATAACCGATCAAAAATTTAAAGTAATTTATGCAAACAGCATAATTACTACAGTCCTAATACTCTGTCTTAGATACTTCATGTTAACATTACTCAAGTAAATGCAGTTGATTTCCCAACTCTTGGAGTATCTTCCTGTGTTACAGGATGTTTAGGACTTTTACCCAGGCTTTCTCCATCCCCCCAGGAATCCCCTTCCTCCTGTTCCTGGTGCTGCTGCCTTACAGTATTCCCTGGATGGAGGTGGACAGCACCTGGATCTGTGTCGCCCACTACCTGGCCTGCCTCTGCCCCACCATTGGCTCAGTGCTCTACCATGTGTTCATGAACCACATTGGCGGTGAGCATGTGTACGACACTCTGCTCTCCCTGGACATGGTTGGGGTCTGCCTCGTTAACACTCTGGGTAAGAATCAAAGAAATCAAAATGAACGCTATAATTTCCATTTAGACAGCAGTTGTTGGACTTTTATCCCAGCATTTGACAGCCAGAGCTAAATAGTTAGCTTGTGCTATTTGCCATTTTTTTATGTTAGTTTTTTCTGTCAAAACTGAATTATTATTTATTGAAATACAATTTTGGTTATCAAGACTTCGTAATCTATTTTAATTATTATATCTGTCAATAATTTGTTGAACTTAAAAGGCCCTCTTGTCTCTTTAAATCCAAATAAGCAACTTCTGCTGACCACACCCTGGAGCTTTGCTTGTGTTGGCTCGTTGGGTTTTGTTTTTTTAAGGGCTTATTTCCCAGACAAAATGGCTGCTTGTTTTTTATTTATTTTATTTTGTTTTGTTTTTTAAAGGACTTGGGCAGTGAGAATCAAATGGAAGCATTAAAATCCTGGAAAATCTGTATTTGCATCACGGCTACTGCTAAAATTCTCTCTTTTTTGAAATGATCTTTGTTGATAGTAAAAGGGTTTGACAAAACAACAAAATCTATATTAACATAGAGCTAAATAAATACAGCAAACAGATCAAAAAGTATACATATAAACAAAAAGCTAAGTCACAAAATTATTTTAGTTTTCTTAATTGCTTTGCTCTTTTGATTTTATGCATAGAATTTTCAACTAATAATATTGGGTTGATAATGTAAAAAAGTTTGTTTTATTAAGGGTATAAAAGAAGAATCTGAAATGTGTCATATTGGTCCAGGAGCTCTTCCCATCATTTACATCACCCTGCTGTGCTACCCGGCCGTCCAGCGGGCCGCCATGTTGGCCTACATCCTCCTGTCGGCCTACGGGATCTACTGCGCCACCACGGCCCACACAAACTTCCTGCGCCTGCGGGCGTTCGTCTGGCAGGCGTTGTTCCGCGTCAGCCTCTTCCTGTTCCGGGTTTACGGCAGCGGCGTGGGCAGCCCCGACTCGCTGCGGCTCTTCGTCATCATGGACGCCCTGGCCGTGCTGGGCGGGCTGGTCAACGTGATCCAGATCCCCGAGCGTTTCAGCCCCGGCCTGTTCGACAACTGGGGGAACAGCCACCAGATCATGCACGTCATGGTGGTCTGCTCCATCATCTACCTGCACTGGGGAACCATGGAGGACTTGGCCTGGATCAAGACCTTCCAGTGTCCCGCTGGGTGAAGCTCTGACCCGGCGACATTTGTTACATTTTCACCTGCGGTTTGCTTTCTACGGAAGCCAAGAGTGGGTTTTTTCCCGCATATACCTTTTCCCAATGGTTTTCTCAAGATAACTACTGTATTTTTCGGACTATAAGCCGCTACTTTTTTCCTACTCTGAACCATACAGCTTATAGTCTGGTGCAATTTTTCTTCAACCGCCAGGGGGAGCTCTTTAGCAGGAAGTGAATCATTGGAAGTCAAAATGGAAAATCATAAAAAAGAGCGCTAATTTTCATTACTTTTCCATTTAAAAAAACACTTTGTGGGTGCAGCTTATAGTGAGGTGCGCTCTACAGTCCTGAAAATACAGTAAATAATTTCCCCTTAGTTTTCTGAAGAAAACCAGTTGATTTTTCCAGTGGTTTTCTGGAGATTAGTTCATTTCTTGATAGTTTTCTCAAGATAACGAGCTAAACATCATTTTCAAAAAAACTTGTTGCCATGAAGAATGGAATTAGGTTGAACAAACGCATAATCTCGTAATCTCAAGAAAACAAACTTTTTCCCAGATTAACTCGTTATTTGGAGAAAAAACATCTCAAAACGTACATGCAGAAAATGTCCGCTCTTGGCTTCCGTAGCTTTCACACGAACCAAACCCTTTGAAGCTGTTCCCCTCCTCACCTGTGGTGGCACTGCACTGAAAAGAAACGACATGGAGACCTTATCCTTTGCAAAGCGTAGACAAAAATGGCATAGCATCAAATTTTTGTGGTTGTAGAATTTCTTTTTATCAAAACACCAACATCTCATTTCTCCCTCTAATGCTAAATTCACTTGTTTGTTTTGATTGTATTTACCCAGAATGCTGTGCATGGCAGTTCACTTTCTGTTTTTGGAGGGTATGAATTCAAACCACACCAGAGTTTATTTCAACCAAGTTTGATGACACATTCCCGCCTCCCCAAACAAACTAGAGATCTATTAAACCGGACTGAACAGAGCTGCTGTGAATGTACCCTTAAAATGTGCTTTAGTTCTAGCTACTCAAACGCTCTTCAGCAGAAGTTTATAATGCCAGAGAAGAAGAGGAACCAATTGCACTGTTACTCAACTCTGATATCGCTGTATCAGATTAAAATCCTGAGTTACTTGATTCATAGTTTGCTGATCTGCAGCCGTTTCTGGGTCATGACCCATAATAACAAGAGTCTGTAAAGTTGTAATGTACAATAAAGATTATATTTTTATATCTTGGGCTGATGTGTTTATTTCATGCATGATAGGAAGTGATGTGAGTCTCAACAGCCTGGTTCGCCTGTTTAATCTCAAAGAAAAATTTGCTGTATATACACTTCAAACACAAAAGAAAAATCTCTGAAATTAAATCTGGATTTGGCAACAACTAGATTATTGATATTTCCTAGCTCCTGCAGCTTTTCAAATCAAAAGCACCAACCCACTCTAAATTGCATTCAGTTAGGTAGAAATATGGCCACTCAGAGAAACGCGTCACTTCAGGTTTACAGAAGTGGAAAAACTTTTGCTACTTCTGCTGATTTGTTTTAACGACACAGAATCACTGCAATGCTGTGAATCGGGTCAGTCTTCGCCTGAGCTGCTGTCGTCTTCGGCGTCCGACAGGTCGGCGATGGGAAACCGCAAGATGGCGGCGACTCCGCTCAGCTGGGTCAGTTCTGAGGAAACAGTTCGGGATGTTAATGATTCAAAAACACCAATAGATTCCATAAAAGTAAATAAAAATGGAGTCAGGAATCAAACAGCACATTTATCTTCAAGATGAAATGGTATAATTGCTTTTTGCATTGCATTGCATTATAAAAATAGAAAATAAAATTAATATGACGCAGTAAAATTCAAACATTTTAAAGGTAAATTTTCAAACTTTTCCAGCATTTTGGAGACAAAAACAATTAAACAAACAAGAAAATACACTTTCAATTCATTATTGCATATAATTTACTACTGTTTGTAAAAATAATTAAGATGGAAGCTATCAAAATGTTAACATTCAAAATTATTTAGTAAATAAATGCTGTTTAAATGTGAAAAATAAGTGAAACTGATGGGACTGTAGCATTTATTATGTAGACAAAATATTTGCAACTTACGTTCACCAGAGACATGAAGGCTTGAGAATATCCTGCAAGGGAAAAAAACCCAAAAATGGACAAATCAATACAGTTAAAGGGTTAAATATATACAGCATTTAAATATTTATGTTAGTTACCGGACGTTTCCTCCGTTGTCTCTCACGTTGTCCACCAGCCGGACGTATCGACTGCGTGTCTGGATGTCCTGATGTCTGAACGCAAAACAAAAACAAAATGAAATAAAGAAAGAAATAAAAAGAGTGAGAAACGACAAACGGTTTCTAAACGCTCTCACGTCCCGACTTGAGATTCAAGAGTTATCAAAACCTTTTAGTCACATTTCAAAACACAAAACCAAACTTCACAGAAATGTTGGTTGGTTTAATGAATGGATGGATGGATGGATGGATGGATGGATGGATGGATGGATGGATGGATGGATATGGATGGATGGATGGATGGATGGATGGAAGGATGGATGGATGGATGGATGGAAGGATGGATGGATGGATGGAAGGATGGATGGATGGATGGAAGGATGGATGGAAGGATGGATGGATGGATGGAAGGATGGATGGATGGATGGATGGATGGATGGATGGATGGATGGATGGATGGATGGATGGAAGGATGGATGGATGGATGGAAGGATGGATGGATGGATGGAAGGATAGATGGAAGGATGGATGGATGGATGGATGGATGGAAGGATGGATGGATGGATGGAAGGATAGATGGAAGGATGGATGGATGGATGGATGGATGGATGGATGGATGGAAGGATGGATGGATGGATGGATGGATGGATGGATGGATGGAAGGATGGATGGATGGATGGATGGAAGGATGGATGAATGGATGGAAGGATTGATGGAAGGATGGATGGATGGATGGATGGATGGATGGATGGATGGATGGATGGATGGATGGATGGAAGGATGGGTGGATGGATGGAAGGATGGATGGAAGGATGGATGGAAGGATGGATGGAAGGATGGGTGGATGGATGGATGGACGGATGGATGGAAGGATGGGTGGATGGATGGATGGACGGATGGATGGAAGGATGGATGGATGGATGGATGGACGGATGGATGGAAGGATGGGTGGATGGATGGACGGATGGATGGAAGGATGGATGGAAGGATGGATGGATGGATGGATGGATGGATGGATGGATGGACGGATGGATGGATGGATGGATGGATGGATGGATGGGATGGATGGATGGATGGATGGAAGGATGGATGGATGGATGGATGGATGGAAGGATGGATGGATGGATGGAAGGATGGATGGATGGATGGAAGGATGGATGGAAGGATGGATGGATGGATGGAAGGATGGATGGATGGATGGATGGATGGATGGATGGATGGATGGATGGATGGATGGAAGGATGGATGGATGGATGGATGGAAGGATGGATGGATGGATGGAAGGATGGATGGAAGGATGGATGGATGGATGGATGGATGGAAGGATGGATGGATGGATGGAAGGATAGATGGAAGGATGGATGGATGGATGGATGGATGGATGGAAGGATGGATGGATGGATGGATGGATGGATGGATGGATGGAAGGATGGATGGATGGATGGATGGAAGGATGGATGAATGGATGGAAGGATGGATGGATGGATGGATGGATGGATGGATGGATGGATGGATGGATGGATGGATGGATGGATGGAAGGATGGGTGGATGGATGGAAGGATGGATGGAAGGATGGATGGAAGGATGGATGGATGGATGGATGGATGGATGGATGGATGGATGGATGGAAGGATGGATGGAAGGATGGATGGATGGATGGATGGATGGATGGATGGATGGAAGGATGGGTGGATGGATGGAAGGATGGATGGAAGGATGGATGGAAGGATGGATGGAAGGATGGGTGGATGGATGGATGGACGGATGGATGGAAGGATGGGTGGATGGATGGATGGACGGATGGATGGAAGGATGGATGGATGGATGGATGGACGGATGGATGGAAGGATGGGTGGATGGATGGACGGATGGATGGAAGGATGGATGGAAGGATGGATGGATGGATGGATGGATGGATGGATGGACGGATGGATGGATGGATGGATGGATGGATGGATGGATGGATGGATGGATGGATGGATGGATGGATGGATGGATGGATGGATGGATGGAATAGTAAAACAGATGGATGAATGGAAATAACGACTCCATGGATGGGTGTACAGCTGGGTGAACAGGCGGATGGATGGATAATTTTCATGTTGAAACCAGTGGAAAACCTGTCACTTGCAGCTAATGCTAATGCTTTTAGCAGCAACCAGTTCTCCCAGTTCATTCTGTGAACTCATGACCCATTATGATCCTCTCTCCTCACCTGAACAACTTGTCGCTGATCAGCAGCGTGTCAACGGCCAGCGCGTCCGCGGCTCTTTCTACATGAGCGATTCTGTACAAAAGGGAAAACCGACAAATGAGCGACAGGCGCTACCGCTGGTCCAAATTGCTGGTTCTGGTTCCTGACCCATAGAAGGCTCTGTCAGGCTCGTGCTGCAGCATCTTGTAGAAATCTTCCAGGGCTTTCACCTCTCCGGCCGCCTGGATGTCAAACAAAAACTGATAAAAACTCTTTGGATAAAGGAGGAAATGAGGGGAATCCGGAGCAGAAACTCACCTTGGTATCAGACAGCCTGCTGGTCACGGCCGGGTCACACAGGATTTCTGCAAAACAAACAACTAGTTAAGCCTCTAGCTGCTAGTTAGGGATGGCAATTATCAATTAATCAGTTAATCTGAAGACTAACTACTGACGATGAATTGATAAGAGGCCATTTTCTTAAAAACTTCAGTTTTTTCTTGAATAAAAATGGCCAACCATCATAACATGAATTTTTTTCAGAATATATCAAATAAAAAATAATCATTTTATTTTGTGTCAGCTGCATTAAATACCGACTGAATGAACAGAAAATTGTGGTTCTAAACAATGGAGTATTAGGGTCATGCTAAGAAAATAAAAAAATACAATTATAACTATTTTGGTAAAAGAGAGAAATAACTAACTTTTCTCTCTTTTACTTTATTCTCATATTTTTTCGACTATTCTAGTAAAACTATTCTCATAACGTTATGTCTTTGTCCTCTAAATTTTATTGACCTTTTTTGTACAGTCAAAATACTCTAATATTAATAAACTTAGGCATATTCATAAAAAATAATAAACATTAACCTCTTCGGTGGCCGAATGGGGAAATAAAATATTAAAAAAATAAAATATGTTAATCAGCAAATTCCCCAGGAACAGAAGAACCATCTCTTGTTACTCTTGAAAGAATGATAAAACTTTGTTAAGTGAATTAACTCACAACGGCCCGTAAAATGAATTTTGCTTATTGGCGCCATGTTTTTTTTTAAATTTTTTTCTCCCGTTATCTCCCCACTTTTCTATCATCGCATCTTCGCCCTCATTGTGCATCAGTCATTTTTCAGGAAGAAAGTGACGCTGCTCCGTCATGCAGCTCTGCTAAATGAGGGCCATTAGAGAGAAACTGAAGGATTTTGTTGACTGTTTAAATTTCAAAACAAAACCGCATAAAGTGCATTTTGCAGCTCGCACTGGACTCTTGTATTGACCGTTACTCTTTCTGGCTCGGTCGCCATCTTTGATTCTGTATCACCGCTCAGTTCAGCGCCATGCGGCACTGGCTCAGCCTTAGAAGGTCTAAACCGAAGTTATTAGCTAATTGATTGGAATTATTCTCATTTGGTAAATAATTAATTGACAATCAATAGTAAGAGGATTAATTGTTTGCATCCTGATAGTAAAATCCAACTGTTGAAATCAAAACATTGCAGCAGCTCCTACCTTTGAGTGAGTATTTGTGGCCTGATGACGAGTGGACCAGCATGAATTTAGGTCGGTTTTCCAGCAGGACCTTGTTGTCCTGTCGCACCGCCTCTTTGAAGACGTAGGCGAAAAACTGGTCCTTGACAAACCCGGGGCTGGCCACGAGGATGCACTTCACCACTAACAGCAACCAAAAAGCAAACCTTCATTTGGATTAACAAATTAAAATAGACAACTTGTAGTTTAGCCATTGTCCTACCCTCAAAATTAATGTGACGAAGAATCGCCTGCATC